CCTGACACACATGCCAGTTCCCAGTCCAAAGAAGCCCCACCGCCCCGTTTACCGGGTTCACGGTCCGGCCACACGCTTCGAACAACAGCGATTGAAACAAAGCTGAAAAATCCAGCAAGACGTATCATGAATCAACTGCCGAAATATTTATCGCCTTTGATTGGTTTTATTCTATAAAAATAGAAATAAAAAATTCTACATGATTTTACATTATTGTTATTTGCAAGCAAAAATATTTTCTGAATTTTTAAAACGACAAATTTTATTTATTTATTTTTTTTTGGTAAAAAATGAGGATCATGTGACATATTTCTATACATACATATTTTCAGAGAGGGATGTTTTAAAAAATGTTTTAAATCAGAAAACAATTATTAAAAATCATTTCATTCAAGTAAATTAATAATTTTACAATTTGGGGTACCGTAAATTTTAAAAAATAGGCCAAACCCAAGTGTTTTTATTTTTTTAAAAGAAAAAGTCTAGACAAAATTGTTAAGATTTATTAAGAGTTGTTCAAATTAAGTTTTAAGCTAAAATGTTAGAAATATAATTCCAACAAATTAAACAAACAAATATAATCTAAAATTTGTGGGTGTATATATTAAATAGTACACATACACAGTGAATCAAATGTAGAGAGAGAGAGAGAGAGAGAGAGAGAGAGAGAGAGATAGAGGGAGGGAGACAATACAGAGGGCTTACCAGGACGTTGATTTTCCGGTACGGCGGAGATGAAGGACATGAGACCGGCGCGGCCAAAGAACTTGGCTACGAAGAGGGTGGCGTGGCCCTGAGCTTCAGGGCTCTCGATCCACTGAAGGCAGGGACGAAGGATGCAGGTTTCGCTGCATCCCTTTCGGAGCACTCGACATCCATTGCAAATCATGGTCCCGCACCGTCGGGTCGTATCTCACCGATCATCCGATCGAACGGCGCAGAATTGACGATCCAGGGTTCAGCAGACAGCAGAGAGAGAGAGAGAGAGAGAAGAGAGAGAGAGAGACGTAGATATTAGGCCTTGCAGTGGCGTATCAGCAGCGCTATATATAAACACAGCAGATTGAAACTTGAAAGTGGAGCTAACTCTGGTTAAGTTAAGCTGGTGGGCTGGAGGTAGTGAGTGAGGAAGAGGGCTGGGTCGTGGGTTAGCGTTAGATTCCAAGGACATGGGCGTGAGCGGCTCCGTGTTTCCGCGGATGGCTGCCCCTCGACCGTTGGATTATATCTTTTTACCCTTGGATATATTGACGACCTTTCGCATTTCCCTCAGTTTTCCTTTCCTTTCCTTTCCTTTCCTTCCCTTCCCTTTAATTTTTTTTTATAATTTTATTAATAACATATTTTAATCTTAAAATTTAAAAATATTTAAAATATAATAAATTTATTTTCGATTAAATTTTAAATATTTTTATTCTTTAATTTTTAAACATTGAAGTTAAAAATTAAAATAAAACGAGAAGTTGAACTCTTAATCGTTAAGATTTGGGTTCTCTCTATTTTTATTATTTATTTATTTATTTATTTGCAGAAGTGGGGTTCGTATTAACTGTTCATTGGTAAGATGTAACTTATCAGCCATTTCCAACCATTGAATTACAGGGGAAAAAAAAGATATAAAAGGCCGGTGAAAAGTATACGTGGAAAACCAAGATGAAACTTGGAAAGTTTTACCCGACTTTTCTCATTAGTACATTTCCCTTGGGCTTTTTAGTCTTTTTCTTTTTCAAAAATATAAATTGAGAAAAAGCTCATAAATTTGGATACAATGATTTATGAAAAAATAAAATAACCAAATTCACCAAATTTTTGTTTCCAATCCTACCCTTAAACTAATTTAAATATGAAATACATAACTCACACTTCACCATTACAATTTTGAAAGAAAAAAAAAAGCCATGGCATATTGGGTACAGAAAAAGCTTATTTTGTTTTTCAATTCTTTTCCCAATTTATAAATTAAGCTTATTTGATCAGTTTTTCAGATTTTATCTTGTTTATTAGATTGAGTATTAATTTTTTTTAAAAAATTTGAGTAGGATTATTAGTTTTCCTATTCTACAAATACGTGTAATCAGTTTCTCATTTTTCAATTCAATTCAACAAAGTATTCTTCGTTTCTCTCCCACTTTATATCAGCCATATGAGAGTAAGGATGTCGGTGAATTAATCACATGTTTAGGAAGCAAAGTGAAAGAGTACAATCAATCAGAAAAAGATACAACAAGCACTAGTCTTGACTTGTGAGTCTATTCCACGGCTATGGAAAATTTTGTACAACCGGTCATTCTACGTTTTGATGGTTGTCATGATCATTGGAGCAACTCGGTGAAATAATTTTTAAATATTCAAAGAATTACTAATTGATGAATACAGAAAACTATAATTTACACTTCTCTTAGAAGGACGGCAATTGGGTCCCTCCATTTAATTTTTTTTAAATGAAGAAAAATAAATACGATGAATTCTTTTATTATTTTAAATATAAAATTTTATTTAGATAATACTGAAATATTTAAATTATTTATTATAAAACTGATTAATTAAAATAAAAAGTACATAATTTTGAAATGGAGGGCCACGTCCGGGCAATCTGTAACAACAGCAATTTAAGACGTCCAGGTCGTCGTCTGTGCTTTCCAGGCGAGGCAGCGGAAGTAGCCAACCAATGAAAGGGAAGGGAAGGGGTCATTGTCAGGGCGGACGTGTCATCCTTATCTTCTTCTGTAACTTTGTTTCATTCTTTTTTCTTTTCTTTTTCATCGTTCCCCCTCCGCCGGCCACTCGTCCGAGAAAATTGTTTTATCACCGCTATAATTATTAGAGAAAACGTTATATATTTTTAAATTATTTAAATAATATTTAATTTTATTTTTTTATAAAAATATTTTTTAACTAATTATTAATTAATAATTACTTAATAATTTTGTTAAAAAAGACGTGTCTATTCCCATTTCATCTATTTAAATTAATTATCTGATCAAAAATTAAAATAATATATCAAAAATTAAAATAATATTTATTTTACTTTAAAAAATTTAAATTTATAAATTAAAAATTTGAAAAAATAAAAATCTAACCTTAATAACATAATTTTATTATTTAAAAAATTTTTAATTTATAATATTTTAATTTTAATTAAATTTTTTAAGTTTAAATAACACTTAATCATTTTTTAAGTTAAATGGCATTCAACTCTTCTTATTTTAATATTCAAAATAAAAATAAAATATTTATAAAATAAAAATTATTTAATAATTAAAAATAAAAAAATTAAATTATCTAGATTTAGATTTTTTAAAAATTAAAATAAGAAATTTAAAAAATAAGTTGTACAAATAATATTTTAAATTTTAATCAAATCAGTAACCAAAATATACAAAAATCGTTTTACTTTCACATTTTTTAAAATAAAATTATAGAACGAGACTGTGTATTATTTAAGTAATTTTAATAAAAAAATATTTTTTACTTTAATTATTAACACATCGTTATTTAAAATAATATTGTATGATGTGTATCAATTACTTTTTCATTCTCACCATAATCTTATACATGTAATACTAATTTAATATCTTAATTCACATAATAATAACTAGTTACTGTATATATTATCTTGTACACCTATTGTCTTTTTTTTATTAATTAATTTATTATATCATATGATCGTTACTAACGATAGAGTTTAAAGTAATTTTTTGAACAGATTAATATATCATTATTAACACGAGAGTGTTTCGTTTAGGTTAAAAAGATATTTTACCAATAAAAAGCCGCCAATTACAAAGTTGTGTTTGGTTTGAGGAAAAAAAAAAGTTTGAAAAGTACAAAAAAATAACTTCACAAAAAGTTTAATTGTAAAAATAGTTCTTTTATGGCTTCAAAGTCACGTATTTCTATTTTTGAAATTAAAATTTTAAAAATATTATTCTTTTGAATTATGTTTCGAAACATATATTTTAAAAAGTAGAGTATATACTTCTGATATTAAGAATAATTTTTAGAAGCACTTGCTTTATCTCTATTAAAAAAATTCATTTCTTTCCGTCACTACCTTGCATAAAAATAACTATATATACATACATATATATATATATTAATCATTCATCTCTTAATTTGTCACTTTAATTCTTATATTAGTTTATTCATTTATTAATTTATTTATATCTTCTAATTTTTTTCACATAATCTTTTATCATAAAAATAATATACAAAAAATATAATTTTAAAAAAAATCTTAAATATATATCAAAAAATAATGTCTCAATTATTTCTAAAATATTTATTTCAAAAATATGTTTTAATTTTAAAAGTATGTAATTTTAAAGTCAGAAAAGAATGGTCTTATTATTATTAATATTTTATATTATATATATATATATTTTTTTTTTTTCACCCACTTCGGCTTGCATCTTGCTCTTCTAGGCTTTGTCCACTTGAGGGCACTGGACTTTATCCAGTGAATCCGCCAAACATGGCCTATAAACTTACGCTGCCATGAAGCCTCACGGATCCTCTAAATATGGACAAAATCTTATTTGTTTTATTGGTGAAAAAATGAAAGATTAAAAGAAGGGTAAGTATCAACTGATACCTAGTGTAAGTACAAAATATTTATATCGCATCTCACACTGTTGATTTGATCAAAATCAACGGATAATATTAATTGACATTAATTTGCAATAACTTCTAACGGATGAAATAATGTCATCCGTTGATTTTTACCAAATCAACGGTGTGAGATGTGGTGTAAGTGTTACACTTACATTAGGTGCTAATTGATCTTCCTTTTAAAAGAATATTTGGACATGTGCGTTTATTTTAATACTATAATACCCCAAATTTTGGGGTATTATTTGAATTTATAAATTGAAAAAGGACTTAATTGAAAGAGGCAAGAAGTTTAGAGGTTGAATTAAAATGATAAGGGACTAAATCGCATTAAATCAGAATCGTAGGGGACAGAATCAAAGGAAATTAGAAAACTAGGAACTAATTTGGAAGAAATCAAAAATTTTTAGATTTTGATAAATCCTTTGGATTTTTGTAGATATGATATCTAAAAATTCGATCAAATTAAGCAAGATCATTTCGAAGTCTTCCAACATATATGTACAACGATGCATGAGGAATAAACCCCTAAATCAATTCCTGCAAGATTTCCTTCAAAGCTTAGGATTTATGGAATTTTCCATGTACCATAGCGAAAACGATCCTTGTTGAAATTGAAAGTGAAAAATAGTGGATTTCGACCAATGACCACAGAGACGTCATCGTTTGTTCATCCCGACCATCGTCGTAGGGTTGATTTCAGAACTTTGTTGAAACTCCAGGTATGATCTTCAATCTTGTTTGAGTTCCATCGTATGGGACGTTCGGGTTGAGAAGACAAGACCCGAAATGATACTCGAGTCTATACTAGGTCCAGTTTGCTAGACTGGATTCAGATTTTGGGCTTTGGGAATTTGGGCCTTTGATTAAACAAGGCCAGGCCTGTACAAGGCTTAGGCCCCTAGACTACATTGGCAGAATTAGGCTGGGCTTCAGCCAAATAGATCTGGATTGAGGATCTAGATTAGAAAAAAAAGAGAGAGAAATAAGAAATCATAGAAAACCAGCTGGTTCACAGGGATTCCAACGGTTCCCTCCAAGTTCACAGTACAGTAATTTAGGTAAATGACTGAACTAGCCGATTTAAGGCTGGTTTGGGGAAAAATTAGTTGTTTTAAGCCTGGTTCGAAGGGTATGCATCAAATCGGCCGATTCAGCATATATGGGACCAGTTCAATGACTTTTAGGGCCAGTTCAGTGTTTATCAGACTGGTTCCAAGTTGGTCCAGTGTGGTAGAGATTGATATATGATCGGTTTCAATGATTTAAAGGCTGATT